ATCATCGTCGGAGGAGACCGAAAAGACTCAGACCATCGAACCTCCATGCGGAGAAACGCCGACAAAGATACAAAAATACAAAAGCCACATCCAGCCCAGACAAATAGCGCCAAGAATATCCAGAAGTGCATCGACAGAAAAAGAAATATCGCCGGAAGCGCAAGTATGGAACATAGGAGACTCCGACAATTCGGTAGACACAGTACAGAATCAACCAACGTCATCTAAGCCATCGAGATCTAAGCAAGATAAAGAACTTCGCACAAACGCGAGAGACAGCAGTGAGAAGGAGAACAGCTCACCCAGAACCGAAGAACCGTCCATACAACTTCGTAAGCAACCGGTGGTAAAGTTAAGGCGTCTCGGAGAAAGATCGCGAGACCGAAATATACTCGCAAAGAGAAAGGAAGATGACAATAGCAACAAGTTATCCAGCAAACAACAGACTAGGAGCTACTACCGAGAGAGAACGCCAAACCCACGAAAATCATCGAAAGCAGACAAGTTGGAACGGAGAAGAGAGCAAAAACGTTTGGCGAATCAACGATACCGTCGAAAGGTAAAAGAGACACTGGAAGCTGCCAAGCGACAACTTGCCCACGCCAGGAGCGACACGACCGATTCGAGTGACGCCGAACCCACACGCGTAACGCCCGTGAATTCACCGTCAGGCGGGAGTGTGCAGCGGCCCACAGCTGCAATGCAGAGAGGACAAAAGGCCGAACGTAAAGCAGCAACCAGAGACGAGACCGAATCGAGGGACGCCAAGCTGATAAGAAGACCAGTGATTGTGGAAGACCGGAGGCAGAGCCCGAAGATCCGAGTCAAGAAGCAGTCCCATCACCAACAGGGGACGGTGGTCGGGGGCAGGGCTGGTGAGAGAAATCTAACAACACCAACCAGACGCCCAGGACCAAGCCAGGACCATCCGAACCGTGCAAGGAGCATCCAGGACCATCCGGACCTGGAGAGGAGCATCCAGGATCGACCGCACCAGGAGAGGAGCAACCAGCACCATCCGGACCGGGAGAGGACCGTAAGTGACCATCCTGACCTCGAGAGGACCATACGGGATCACCAGGATCTCGAGATGCAGGATCGGGATCATCAGGATCTCGAGGTGAGTGACCGGGACCAACGGGATCTCGAGGTGCGAGAACCGGATCTCGAGACACGAGAGAGGGATCATCCTGACCTCGAGGGACGTGACCCGAAGGATCCTGACCCCGAGGGAAGTGACCACGAGTATCCGGACCCCGAGGACCCCGAGATCATGAAGCAGATATGCGAGGGTGAGGACCCGGAGCATCGACCCGGAGGGAACGACAACGAAGACGACGACAGGCGAGTTCTTCTGCAGTGGCTGACTGGTCCCGAGTAGACCTCGAGACAGAGATCAGGTAATCACGAGATCAAAGGATCTCGAGGTCAGTCATAAATGACTGCACGAAACCGACCAAAAGTTATGTTATATTTTTGTTTATTATGCGACTAGGCTTATTATTATATAATTTTAGTTAGGACCTCGAGGGCTTAGAGAAGGTAAGAATGTGATCTCGAGTCCCGGTAAAACCTAGTCTTTGCAATACACGTACCTGCTATAATCGGAAAAGATTCATATTAGTTTTGTTTAGTTCATTATTTTATACTTACCTGATTTGTAGAAGCATCCCACGAAGTCCTGTGATGACTCGACCTGCGAACATAAAAGAAATATTATTATATAATCATATATAGCCATATATATATATATATATATTTTTGTATTGTTAGTATTAAGATAGTCATAAGAGGATTTTACGATTTTGTTATTAATCATTATATGAAGAATATCTATTATTTGTTATAAACGCCGTCAGCGCCTGTGCGCGCAGCGACAGCCGAAGCGTCATCATGAACACGGTATAGAGTGCGAGTGGCCGGCGTCTGCGATAAGTCTAAAAAAGCGAGCAAAGTTTATTTTATAATTTTATAAGCCGAGTTTATTTCTATAACGTCGAAGTCGGTAATACCGACCGGGGAGAACGCCCTCTAGGCGAACCCACGGAGGAGCGTGACTATGTGTTCGGTTCGGGAAATAAGGTTCCGCATCTCCACACACTCGACGGACTGTGTGAAGATGCGGAAGGCGCGAAGGCGCCAAGTAGTAGCTCTCGAACCCCAGAGCAGGCTGAACGCGTATGTGAAAGCACTCCGTCGCGTGCGACGTTAAATAAAAAACCCCCGCGGACGCGACGCGAATAGGCGAGTAAGTAACGGCGGATAGTGACCCTTTGTGTAAAAGGTTGAGAATAAAGACTTTTGTGAAATACACGGTGTTAGAACTTTGTTCCGGGATCCCCGTCCGTCTTCGGAAATCTGCGCCGTGGCTTAACCAAGTGGACGGGTGGCGACCATCTTATCGAACCTCTAGAACCTGCATTCTTCACCCTCTGGACCCGAGGAAGGACTCGCAGTCCGGTTACAACCTAACCTAACCTAACTCTAACCAAACCAACCCGTCCGCCGGAGCGAACCGGGTCATCCAGAACGAGCAGGCAGAGCAGCCGTCCTGACCGCGAGGAGAGGACTCGTGGCCGTCCTGACCGCGAGGAGAGGACACGTGACTGTCCTGACCGCGAGGAAAGGACTCGTGACCGTCCTAACCGCGAGGAGAGGACTCGCGACTATCCTGACCCCGAGACGTGGACTCGCGATCGTCCTGACCTCGAGGAACGAGTCACCAGTCGCCGTAACCGCGTGGAGCGAAACTGGAGGAAGGATCCTCGAGAACACGAACCTCGAGAACAGCCGAGGTCCCCGATGGTGATATACCTCGCCACCGAGGACCCCGAGGAGGAATCCACGAGGGACCGAACTGACCCCGAGGAGCAACCCGAAACCGGAGATCCCCTCGAGGACATGGAAACCCCGAGACCAGGTTCCGAGTAGGCGGAGCTCCTCAAGGACCAACAGGACTTCGACGAGTAGGAGGACCTCGAGGAACGGAGTATTCGAGGTCATAGGTGTAAGACTGGTCCGGAAGTCAAGGTCGAGTACGCGAACATGCCCAGGACACTCGAGTCAGCGGGAAAAGCAGTACGCAATGCAAAGTTTTGTTTAGACCTCGCCAGATGACTCGAGGGACAGTGGACCTCGAGTAGGCGAGATAAATAGTTTATTTATAATCATTAGAGTTATATTTTAAGTTCCGTTTGCAATAAACTCCGACTGACTGCGAGACGGCGAGATCCAGGGGGCGTGAGACCCGGAAACTCGCCGTTTCGGGTGTAGATGAGTAAAGAGTGTCAGTGGGCCGGTGCGCGTGTCTCATCCGAGAGCCTGAGACTCTTAAACCGACAAAAACTTTCGGAGGCTCTGTGGCGTCTGGGAAGCCGGCCTTGATTGCGAAAATCAAGTTTTGAGAAGATTATTTTATTTTAGTTAAGGAGACCTCGCCCAGATCCCACAGTAAGCCTAGAAACACTAACGCAAAGCGGTAGTACAAGCCAAGGTTATGTAAGAGTTGATAGAGTTCACGAAAGATCCAAATGTAGAGTTTTACATGTTTAGTTTATAAAGAGAGATTGTTCAGAGTCGAGTGGCGACGATATGTCCAACGATGGCCTGAAAACAAAAATAGATTAATTACCAAATTGATAGCCTTGACTTGTACTTACCCTGATGACGAAGAAACAAACCAAAGACTGATATTGTCCCGCGGCGACCTGAAAAATAAGAAACAAATTAGTATTAAGTGCGATATAGGTATAGTATACTTACCGTGTGGGCTGCATCCTGTCCATGGGCGGCGTCTAGTCCAACGATGACCTGAAACAATCAAAAAGAATTATTAAAGTTAATTTTATATAGATTAAAATACTTACCTGAGGTATGTCTCATCCGATGGTGACCTGTAAAGAAAAAGGGTAGATTAGTGTATAACAACAATATAATGCAATGTGCAATACCTACCTGATGAGGGTGACAAAAACGATGAGGCGTCCAATGTCCCGCGGCGACCTGAAAAGAAAATATAATAGTCATTAGAATTAAGTTTATAAATTTATATACCGTAATCTATGCTGTTTATATATTTATACATATATATATATTTTTATATGCATTTCTTTATAATGATACGCATAGGATTAAGTTTATAAAAGCGAGCAAAGTTTATTTTACAATTTTATAAGTAGAGTTTATTTTAATAACGTCGAAGCCGGTATTACCGACCCGGTTTTAGCGCCCTCTGAGTGAACGTACGAGCGGGCGGTGTGCGTCTGTTATCCGAGGCATATAGAGTTTCGCCTCTGAGACGGACCCGTGGTCCTTCTAAGAGGCGAAAGGCGCGAAGGCGCCAAACAAAAGGAGTGGGAGATTACCCGCCACGGAGAGCGGACGTGTACACCCCTCGTGCCCACTCAAACCAGTTCCGCATGAATTGCGGCGAAGATTTATATTCGCGACGCGGTGTAAAGGCGGCTAGGCGGCCCAACGTAACGAATAAATAATCATTAAACAGCAGTGTGGTGTTGGTGTCTCGGTCCCCGATTCCCCGTCCATTCCTGGGGATCCCGCTGCGCTGCTGCATCAAAGGACGGGTGGCGACCGAAATAGCTGCGTCCCGAAAGGAACCTGCTTCTTCATGTGCGAGCCCCTCGGGCTCGAACCCCATTGTGTCCGGTTACAACCTAACCATACTAACCAAACCAACCCGTCCGCCGGAGCGATCCGGGTCATCCGGAACGAGCAGGCAGAGCAGCCGTCCTAACCGCGAGGAGAGGACTCGTGGCCGTCCTGACCGCGAGGAGAGGACACGTGACTGTCCTGACCGCGAGGAAAGGACTCGTGACCGTCCTAACCGCGAGGAGAGGACTCGCGACTATCCTAACCCCGAGACGTGGACTCGCGATCGTCCTGACCTCGAGGAACGAGTCACCAGTCGCCGTAACCGCGTGGAGCGAAACTGGAGGAAGGATCCTCGAGAACACGAACCTCGAGAACAGCCGAGGTCCCCGATGGTGATATACCTCGCCACCGAGGACCCCGAGGAGGAATCCACGAGAGACCGAACTGACCCCGAGGAGCAACCCGAAACCGGAGATCCCCTCGAGGACATGGAAACCCCGAGACCAGGTTCCGAGTAGGCGGAGCTCCTCAAGGACCGACAGGACTTCGACGAGTAGGAGGACCTCGAGGAACAGGAGTATATCGAGGTCATAGGTGTAAGACTGGTCCGGAAGTCAAGGTCGAGAGCGCGAACATGCCCAGGACACTCGAGTCAGCGGGAAAAGCAGTACGCAATGTAAAGTTTTGTTTAGACCTCGCCAGATGACTCGAGGGACAGTGGACCTCGAGTAGGCGAGATAAATAGTTTATTTATAATCATTAGAGTTATATTTTAAGTTCCGTTTGCAATAAACTCCGACTGACTGCGAGACGGCGAGATCCAGGCGGCGTGAGACCCGGAAACTCGCCGTTTCGGGTGTAGATGAGTAAAGAGTGTCAGTGGGCCGGTGCGCGTGTCTCATCCGAGAGCCTGAGACTCTTAAACCGACAAAAACTTCCGGAGGCTCTGTGGCGTCTGGGAAGCGGCCTTGATTGTGAAAATCAAGTTTTGAGAAGATTATTTTATTTCAGTTAAAGAGACCCCTCCCAGATCCCACAATAAGCCTAGAAACACTAACGGAAAGCGGTAGTACAAGCCAAGGTTATGTAAGAGTTGATAGAGTCCACGAAAGATCCAAATGTAGAGTTTTACATGTTTAGTTTATAAAGAGAAATTGTCCAGGTCGAGTGGCGACGATATGTCCAACGATGGCCTGAAAACAAAAATAGATTAATTACCAAATGATAGCCTTGACTTGTACTCACCCTGATGACGAAGAATCCAATAAAGACTCATATTGTCCCGCGGCGACCTGAAAAACAAGAAACAAATTAGTATTAAGTGCGATAAAGGTATAGTATACTTACCGTGTGGGCTGCATCCTGTCCAAGGGCGGCGTCTAGTCCAACGATGACCTGAAACAATCAAAAAGAATTATTAAAGTTAATTTTATATAGATTAAAATACTTACCTGAGGTATGTCTCATCCGATGGTGACCCGTAAAGAAAAAGGGTAGTTAGTGTATGACAACAATATAATGCAATGTGCAATACCTACCTGAAGAGGGTGACAAAAACGATGAGGCGTCCAATGTCCCGCGGCGACCTGAAAAGAAAATATAATAGTCATTAGAATTAAGTTTATAAATTTATATACCGTAATCTATGCTGTTTATATATTTATACATATATATATTTTTATATGCATTTCTTTATAATGATACAAGTAGGATTAAGTTTATAAAAGCGAGCAAAGTTTATTTTACAATTTTATAAGTAGAGTTTATTTTAATAACGTCGAAGTCGGTATTACCGACCCGGTTTTAGCGCCCTCTGAGTGAACGTACGAGCGGGCGGTGTGCGTCTGTTATCCGAGGCATATAGAGTTTCGCCTCTGAGACGGACCCGTGGTCTTTCTAAGAGGCGAAAGGCGCGTTGGCGCCAAACAAAAGCAGTGGGAGATTACCCGCCACGGAGAGCGGACGTGTACACCCCTCGTGCCCACTCAAACCAGTTCCGCATGAATTGCGGCGAAGATTTATATTCGCGACGCGGTGTCAAGGCGGCTAGGCGGCCCAACGTAACGAATAAATAATCATTAAACAGCAGTGTGGTGTTGGTGTCTCGGTCCCCGATTCCCCGTCCATTCCTGGGATCCCGCTGCGCTGCTGCATCAAAGGACGGGTGGCGACCGAAATAGCTGCGTCCCGAAAGGAACCTGCTTCTTCATGTGCGAGCCCCTCGGGCTCGAACCCCATTGTGTCCGGTTACAACCTAACCTGCAGCTTCGGATTACGTGCTCAAGCACGTACTTTTCGTCCGGTTACAACCTAACCAGGAGAGGAGCAACCAGCACCATCCGGACCAGCATAGGAGCATCCAGGACCATCCGGACCGGGAGAGGACCGTAAGTGACCGTCCTGACCACGAGAGGTCCATCCGGGATCATCAGGATCTCGAGATGCAGGATCGGGATCATCGGGATCTCGAGGTGCGAGAACAGGATCTCGAGGTGAGTGACCGGGATCAACGGGATCTCGAGGTGCAAGAACCGGATCTCGAGACACGAGATAGGGATCATCCTGACCTCGAGGGACGTGACCCGAAGGATCCTGACCCCGAGGGAAGTGACCACGAGTATCCAGACCCCGAGGACCCCGAGATCATGAAGCAGATGTGCGAGGGTGAAGACCCGGAGCATCGACCCGGAGGGAACGACAACGAAGACGACGACAGGCGAGTTCTTCTGCAGTGGCTGACTGGTCCCGAGTAGACCTCGAGACAGAGATCAGGTAATCGCGAGATCAAAGGATCTCGAGGTCAGTCATAAATGACTGCACGGAACCGATCAAAAGTTATGTCATATTTTTGTTTATTATGCGACTAGGCTTATAATTATATAATTTTAGTTAAGACCTCGAGGACTTAGAGGAGGTAAGAGTGTGACCTCGAGTCCCGGTAAAACCTAATCTTTGCGATACATGTACCTGCTATAATCGGAAAAGATTTATATTAGTTTTGTTTAGTTTATTATTTTATACTTACTGATTATGTAGTAGCATCCAACGAAGTCCTGTGAAGACTCGACCTGCAAACATAAAAGAAATATTATTATATAATCATATATAGCCATATATATATATATTTTTGTATTGTTAGTATTATAATAGTCATTAGAATTAAGGTTATATATATATATAAACATGTTACATACCGATATACACATATATACATATAGAGATATATATAGATAAGATTTTTATACTGCAATAAGTCTAAAAAAGCGAGCAAAGTTTATTTTATAATTTCATAAGCAGAGTTTATTTTAATAACGTCGAAGTCGGTAATACCGACCAGGGAGAACGCCCTCTAGGCAAACCCACGGAGGAGCGTGAATATGCGTTCGATTCGGGAAATAAGGTTCCGCATCTCCATACGCTCCGCGGACTGTGTGAAGATGCGGAAGGCGCGAAGGGGCCAAGTGAGTCGCCCACAAACCCCCGAGCGTGCCGAACGCGTAAGTGAACGCACTCCGTCGCGTGCGACGTTAATAACAAGAAAGTCGTTCTCAAACCCCAGCGCGAACCGAACGCATAGCTGAACGCACTCCGTCGTCGTCCGACATAAAATCACCGCGAAGCTCATTCCGCGATTATAAGACTGTTGTACCAAAGTGTAAAATAAATACAGAATATATATATATACTAACGTGCAGTGTGTACGGTGTATGTCTTCCGGGAATCCCGTCCTTCCCAGGGGATCCGTGCTGTGCGCAACGAAGGGCGGGTGGCGACCGAAAAGAGCTGCGTCCCGAAAGGAACCTGCATCTTCTTGTGCGAGCCCCTCGGGCTCGAACCCCATTGTGTCCGGTTACAACCTAACCTAACGTGATCGGGATCTGCAGGATCTCGAGAGCCGTGGTCGGGATCATCCTGACCTCGAGGGTGTGACCCGGAGTATCTTGACCCGAGGATGTGACCACGAGTATCCTGACCCCCAAGGACCTCGAGGTCACGAAGTAGACGTGCAAGGGAGAAGATCCTGAACCTCGACTCGGAGGAAATGACGACGACGAAGATGGCAGGCGAGTCCTTCTACACCGGCTGACTGGACCCGAGTAGATCCTCGGGACTGACCGCTCGAGAGAGTATCATGTGATCGCGAGACGTAGTGATATCGAGATCAGTCAGAAATGACTGTGCGAATCCGTCGGATCAAATTTATTATTTTTAAGTTTTAGTTTATGATGCGACTAGGCGTTTTAATATATAATTTAAGTTTGGACCTCGCGGACTTCGAGCGAGAAAGAATGCGACCTCAAGTCCTGGAAAGAACCTAGTTTTCGCGATACACGTACCTGATATAATACATACCTGCGATGCGACCACCGCGGTGGTAGGATTAAAAGGACGGTGTTCCTCGTGAACATCCTACAACCGGGAAATATCAATATTAGTTTCTTTTAATTTATTATCCTATACTTACCTGATTGTTTAAAAGCATCCCACGAAGTCCCACGATGACTCGACCTGCGAACATAAAAAAAGTATTATTATATCATATATCAGGTGTAGTAAAAAGAAATCCATTATTTCTCCAATAGATGGCTTTAGTTATCTGTATCTCGCGTTGTATAAGTCCGATCGGGTTCCACTAGATGGCGTTAGAAAGATGAGATTTTGTACTAAAAAAACTTTTCTGACAGTTTTGTGATTAGTTGACTCAGTTTTGAGCGCACGTCAAAGATGGACACTAACAAAGAGAAAATACGTTATATTTTACAGTTTTCTTCGATAAAGGCGAAAACGCAAGCCAGGCGGCTGAAAATGTGAATAGTGTTTATGGTCCTGATACTGTAACGGCCAATCACGCGCAATTTTGGTTTCGTCGATTCCGTTCCGGTAATGTCGATGTCAAAGATGCACCACGCATTGGAAGGCCAATTGTCGAAAATATCATAAAATCATGGACATTGTCGAGTCCGACCGTCATGTAAGCACTGCTTGGATTGCCCAAGAGCTAAAGATTGCACAAGAAACCGTTTGGAACCATTTGAATAAGGCTGGATACAAAAAGAAGCTCGATGTATGGGTGCCACACGAGTTAACGAAAAAAACCTCATGGATCGAATTTCCATCTGTGAATCGCTGCTGAATCGCAACAAAATCGACCCATTTCTGAAGCGGTTGGTCACTGGTGATGAAAAGTGGATCACTTACGACAACGTCAAGCGAAAACGGCCGTGGTCGAATCGCGGTGAGCCGGCGGAAACGGTGGCCAAGCCAGGATTGACGGCCAGGAAGGTTTTGCTGTGTGTTTGGTGGGATTGGCAGGGAATTATCTACTATGAGCTGCTCCCCTACGGCAAAACTCTTAACTCTTAACTCGTGATTACCATCTGTTCCTGTCCATGGCGAACAATTTTGCTTGTGAAAATGTCGCTTCAAGAGAGGCTTATGAAAATCGACTGTCTCAATTTTTTGCCAATAGGGACGAGGGCTTCTATGAGAGAGGCATAATGAAATTACCTTCAAAATGGCAACAAGTTATCGAACAAAACGGCGCATATTTGACCTAAATCGATCATTCTAACTATGGTAATTAAAGCCTTCAATTTCATGCAAAAATAATGAATTTCTTTTTACGACACCTGATATATTATACGTGTATAAATTATTCTATATACAGAGTGATTCAGACCACTCGTACAGCCCTTTTATTTCGGAAATAGAACATTTTAGAGATAAATATTTCAGACAAAAGTTGTAGGGCTTCAAAGGATCTATTTACTGACGTA